ATGTGAATTTTGTCAATTTTCCATGAAAAAGTGACATTCTCAAAAAAAAGTCACAATTTCTCAAGGTGTTTTACCAATTTAGGACGTAATTAATACTTCTTTAAAATGTTTAATTAATTTAAGGGGTATTAATTAAAACACTGTAAAAAAAATGGTACAAGGCCTAATTTCATCTAGAAATTTACTTCTCAAAATATATTATTTGACTAGGATGTACATCGAGTTAATACCTTAAATAGTCACTAAACTTTACTAAAAGTTTCCAGGAGGTCATTGAACTTTAAAACTTCCCTAATTAGTTACTGAACTTCGCAAAAAAGTTCCTAAGAGGTCACTGAATTTCGAAACTATCCTAAATAATCACCGAACTTTTTCAAAACTACCCTAATTAGTCACTCAACTTTGCAAAAAATTTCTAGGGAGTTACTAAATTATTGATGTATGGGGTCACAATTTGCAAAGTTCGGTGACCTCTTAGGAAGTTTTAGCAAAGTTCAGTGACTATTTAGGGTAGTTTTGAAGTTCAGTTACCTCCTATGAATTTTTTGCAAAGTTCAGTGACTAATTAGGGAAGTTTTGAAGTTCGGTGACCTCTTGAGAACTTTTGGCAAAGTTCGATGACTATTTAGGGTNCTTAGGAAGTTTTAGCAAAGTTCAGTGATTATTTATTGTAGTTTTGAAGTTCAGTGACCTCCTATGAACTTTTTGCAAAGTTCAGTGTAGTATTAGGAAATTTTTGAAATTCGATGACCTCTTGGGAACTTTTGACAAAATTTGGTGACTATTTAAGGTATTAACTCAATCACGATAAAAGTGACAAGCCCTGTTTGATTCCGATTACTTTTAATTAAATTATAATTTATTTTTCTTTCTCTTCTTATTAATCACACATTTTCAATAAAATAATATTACACGTAAACTCAAATTTTCTTTCCTTTTTTTAGCTGCACATTTTTCAAAAAAAAATTACTATTCCTCTCATTATATTGTAGAATAATGGAATTCAAACGGGCGCTTTACATAACAAAACATTAAACCCATGTTTTGTATAAATTAAAATTTAATATTAATTTTAATTATATATTTTTTGAAATTCACAACTTTTTAATAGCACGTTTCATCAACTATTTTCAAATTTTTTATGATAAACAAATTGAACTACGTGTTTATTTTTGGACAGCCATACATACATTTGTGTACAAGTAAATGAAAATTTAAATTGATTTTATTCAAAATGGTTGTCCAATGCTGACATTTGATTTCCTTGTTGTACCAAGTTTTTTTTTTAAAATTCTATTTATGTCAACGTGTTATATAGTAATTAAATCATCACAAATTCAATATTATTAATTATAAAATTAGAAATACTTATATTACAATAAAATAAAATAATTGTTTTGTCATTTTTTTATTAAAAAAATATTTTATAAGACGTATCCCCGTACACGTATTCAACATTCAAATATTTTTTAACTGTATTCCATATCTTAATTTTTAAAATGAGAAAGATTCAACTCCTAAATATGTATCGTTATTCGACAGCTACACTCGAGCTTGAGCAACATAGATTAATATTATTACTATCGCATTTGAAGAGCATTTAAGCTAGTTTTGCATGATTGAAGAGGGCTAATTAACTGCATGTGCACCTTCTGTTCTGGGCCCTACAATGTTTCACATGTGGCAAGACGTTATTGGCTTATTAAACAAAAAAACTCCGGGACCCACCTAGAATATATTATAATAACCAACTACCATTTTATTAAAAGGAATTCTTCTTTCAGACGCTGTACTTTAATTAAAATGTACATTTTTCTTCTGTTGACCAATTCAAAATTTTCCTTAAGTGCGACCCGCAGGTTCAGTATTGACCGGCGCTTGAGTGTATAAAACCCCGTAGTTCTACTGTAGACCCTTTTCAATCTCTACCGTTGTTGCACTCACTGCCCACGGTTTAGATCAAGCAATAGGTAGGACCCACTAGAGCTACCTATGGGAGAGAATTGCACCAGAGTTCGTAACTATTGTCCAAATAACAAGTTAATGTTCAACTTTTAAAAACAAACAAGTTGATCCTTTTTTTTAATCATAGTTGCACGTTCGAGGGTTAATTACTAAACTATTGTTTGATCCCCATTATTTTCAAAATACATTTTTCTCGCTCTTCTTTTCAACCATATATTTTTTAATAAAATAATATTACATGCAAATTCAAAATTTTTCTTTACTTTTTAATCACATTTTCCATCTATCTACTATTTCAAAATGTATTTTTTAATAAAAAATGGGGGCTCAAACGGGCTCTAAGTCTATCAATCCATTGCTTTATGTCGATGTCATGAAAATCCTCATTTAATATGTTAAAATTGAAATCCATTCACTCGTTTTTAAGCTTAAAAATGAAATATAATAATAACACAAAGCAAACAACGAGCTCATCATTTATTCAATCAAATTGGAATTTAAAAGCTTGTTTGATTCTCATTTTTTTCAAAATACATTTCTCTATTCTTTTCAACCACACATTCTTTATTAAAATAATATTACACGTGAATCAAATTTTTTCTTTCTTTTTTAACCACACATTCTCCATCAATCTACTATTTAAAATATATTTTAAAAAAAAGAATGGGACTCAAACACATAATAAATAAGAAATCCCCTATTCGCATTCTAGGGTTTTTAAATTTTGATTGCTAAATGAAGACCACGTTTGAGCAACATTTTTTGCCCAAAAAACAAATAAATGAAATAGCAATTTTATTGAAAAATGTATGATTGAAAATAAGAAAAAACGTGTTTTAAAAATAATGAAGATTAAATAAGGATGATGTCAATTTTTGACATATTCCACCATATTGGTGTGACTATGTCGTTGCTTACAACAACTTGTATTATCAATTTTGATCGATGTTAATTCAGGTAGGTTTTTGCAATTGCAACATTTATGGAAAATCAAACGCTTGCAAGTATAGATCTATCATCTTGTTCATTCGTGATTTAAAAGTTAGATGACGAGTCAAATAATTAACCTCAAATACGATAATCGAGTTCATTTCTATTTCTATTTTTCTTTTTACATCGTCAAGTCATCTTCATGAAAAACATATTTCACTTCAAATTTATGGATACTAGTCAAGTCGGGAAGTAAAATCCAATATTGTAAAGTGGGATGTGCAGACATCAAGTGATAATTATAGTAGGCGTGTAGGTCAATGGTTAATTCCCTCTTTCTTAAAGGCCGTGGATCAATTTGCTACTATTTCAGTACATTGGGGTTCAATAGTGCAGTTTTTTCCAAAAGAAAAACAGAAAAACAGAAAAATGAGTAGACGAAGACTAGAGCTCTGTATACACTTGCGTTCATTCATTTCCTCTCTCTCTTCATTTCTATCTCTGCGCAACGACTCTCTCTCTAAAGGCGTTGGCATTTTTGCTTTGCCTTTGCTCGTGTTGTTTACAGCTGAAGTGGGGTGAGGTGGGGGGACAAAGTTGTAAATTCTCTTAACTGCAGGGGGAATTGTATCGGGTGTTTTGTCTGAAGCCATCGAAAAAGCAAAGTCAAGCCCTCTCGATCGAGGTGTCCTACTGTCTCTGTTTTCCAATTTTACCCTCAGATCGCTAAAATTTCTCCAATTCTGAGGTTTAATGAAGTTGTTCTCTATATGTAATTTTTTTGGGGTTTATTTTGAGGAATTTAGCTGATTTTGTTTTTGGGTGAACTCGTACTTGTATAAAATATTTGATTTTTGTGTTTTTGAGCTGAGCCCTTGAGTTCTTTATTTGACGTCGTTTTGTGAAGTGGAAAATCGAGGGTGAAATAGACTTGGCAGTCAACAGGAAAGAAGGAAAATAAATAAATGGAGAAATCGAGAAACTAATGTACTATTGTTGTATGAAAGATCAAAAAACAGTATCAAATTCGCTGGTAATAAGTTTTCTCCCCGGGAAATTAAAGATAGTTCTATCAGAGGTTTTAATAAATGTCTTGTATTCTTATGGATTTCTTAACAGGTAGCTTGAATTTGAGTTGATGCTTTTCAGTGGATCAAAATTTTGTAGGGTTTTGGCTATTGAGGTTCTGAACTTTGGAAATCCTCATGCACTAGATATACTGTTTTTTAAGGAGTTTTTGCTTTGGCATCTGTGTTGATAAAGGGAAAAGAAAATGTTGGAGGGTCCAAAGTTTACTGGAATTATGGGCATAAACAATAACCAAGACGATTTCTCTCAGAACTTCTATCGGAAGCTCAATGAGGATTCAAACATGTCTGTTGATAGTTATGGGAGCTTGCAGATGAGCAATGGAGGAGGTTCTGTTGCCATGTCAATGGACAACAGCAGCGTTGGATCAAATGATTCCCATACACGCATATTAGGCCATCAGGGCCTCAAGCATGTGCGTGTTAAAAACTATTCAGTAGCGGCAAGCGTCAATCGTGGGCGATCCCCTAATGGACTGAGCAATGATGCATTGGCTCAAGCTTTGATGGACTCTCGATATCCAACTGAGGGTCTTGGAAATTATGATGAGTGGACAATTGACTTGAGGAAGCTTAACATGGGGGACGCTTTTGCTCAGGGGGCTTTTGGTAAGCTCTACAAGGGTACATATAATGGCGAGGATGTTGCAATTAAGCTTCTGGAGAGGCCAGAGAATGATGCAGAGAGGGCGCACTTGATGGAGCAGCAGTTTCAGCAGGAGGTGATGATGCTGGCTACACTGAAGCATCCAAACATTGTTCGCTTCATTGGCGCATGCCGTAAACCCATGGTCTGGTGTATTGTGACCGAATATGCAAAGGGGGGTTCAGTGCGTCAGTTCTTGACTAAGCGAATGAACCGATCAGTGCCTTTGAAATTGGCCGTAAAGCAGGCCTTGGATGTGGCTAGGGGGATGGAATATGTGCATGGATTAAATTTGATTCACCGAGACTTGAAATCGGACAATCTTCTAATTGCTGCTGACAAGTCTATTAAAATTGCAGATTTTGGGGTTGCCCGTATTGAGGTGCAGACCGAAGGAATGACACCAGAGACAGGGACATACAGATGGATGGCCCCGTAAGTTCCTTTCTTTCCCTTCCTTTCCTCTGCGACGAGTTTTCTTATTTGATCATCTCATATCTGGTCATAGTAAAGTTTGCTTGTTCACCTTATGCTTATCTTTTTATCTCCTGTGTATGTTATTTAGTAACATGTTACTATTTACCATCATATATATTTCCTCTTGGATTTGATTATTTTTGAGGCATTGCATTCCCATTTTTTCTACTTTTCTTAAGTTCAGGCAAGTTCTTTTGGTAGTTCCTTCGGATATTTTATGTTCTGCAGGTTATAATAAAAGTGAGCTGCTTGAATTCATGCTTTGGTCCAATTTATCTGTTCCAATGGATTTAGCATATCACTGAATTTTTTTCCCTGCGCCATCCTGGAGAAGAAAAAAAATCTGAAAAAAGAAAAGAAGGAGGAGCGGGAACACATGTTTCCTTTTTACTTCTAACACATTAATTTGAGCACATATCTTCATTAAGTTTTTATTAGCCCTATCTTATCCTTTTTCTTTGTGCTTCCTGCTCTCAGGTTGTCAGTTTTAACCACTAAGCTACCCACTCTATGATGCTTTGTAAGATTATTTTTGTCTTCCTGAAAAAGTCCAAAAGTGACAAGTATATCACTGGTTTGTTTTATAGCTTCGATGTCAATTTCATAGAACTATTAAAATAATTAGGGGAGGTATTAAGAAGTTCAATGTGTAACAGAATGTCAACAACTGTCATGCTTTTAGCTTTACTGATATATGCTGTATCAGTTCATTTCATAGCCTTACATAGTTATGTTCAGCCTATCCTATATGCCTATACCTTTGTATTAATACTGGTCTTTGTTTGAATGCCTTTTGGGACAATTTGAATCAAATAGCAGAATGACCGATGTCTACACGTTGAAGATGTGTATATTTACATGTCCATAGAGTAGCGGGTATATTGTTATACTGTCAAAGAGAAATCTCGCTGTTCTGGATTGTTCTTCGGAGCCATTTATTTTTGAATCTCATCCTCAGGTTGAGGAAAATCCTTCACTAGTGATAGCTATAGTTGATTGTTAAGTTTCTTGGTGAATTATTTTTACAACCCAATTCTTCATAGTGGAGGAAATGGATCTTTGATGGATGACACAAGAACAAGAGAATTGTATGCTTTTAAGTATAATTTAATGCTCTATATGTTACACTAATCTTTCTTGATTGTGAGGCGATCCCCCCCAATTGTTTTGTTTCAATGCATTCATTCATTTTTTTGAGGATGCCTCAGTTGTAAGTTTCTCATAAAGATAAGAAAAAAAACTCGTGCTTTTTGTTTCATTGCCAGCATAAAACTTTTTGGCTTATGGCTAGGTACTGCTTTTGTTAAGATCCTTTTACCCCCGTGCAAGAAGATTTGCTTAATTGGTATTAAATCAAGGCTATAAATGAGAGTTTTTAAGACGTTCCATTTTTCCCTGGTCTATAAAAACAAATTAGAAGAAGCATACAGAAAAAGAATATTTAAATAACTAATTGATGTTCATGTCTTTCCAGCCTGATAATTCTTTGCTGAGTTAAGCTTAATCACATGAACATGGATTATGATGCTACCAAATCAGTCTCACTTAATAAGTTTCTTTTTGGGCCTATCCTGTTTTTCTGAGTTAGTTGATCATTTGAAGTCCTTGTCCCAATGTTGCAGTTCTAGCGTACAATTGCTTCTACTACGCCTGTGAGAATATTTTCAAGTTTTACATCTGTGCCTGTTTGACCTGAATAACTTTCATGAAGCAACCTCAAAAGCAACACTTCAACCGGTAATCTTGTTCTAATTTTGTGGTTTGTAACTTAAATATAAAATATTGAGCTCTTGTAGTTTCCCGAATACGTATCATCCGAGGTAGAACAACTTAATGATGAGGAGTAGAAGGATTTAGGTTTGTGAACCTTCTTAACAAGATATTTCTGGAGTGTTAAATGCCTGTCATAGAACTGAAGTAAAAAAATAGATGTCAAGCTCTGACTATTGAACACTTTCTCCAATTTTCTGCAATTGACATATTTGGCATTGTTCCAATGGTATGATATGGTTTGGAATCGATTTTTGACCAGATACAATTTCCCAAATGCGCTGAACCCTAAAATAGGTGATAAAGATGAAAATGTTCGTCATAAGAATGATTATAAAGCAAACTTGACTTGATGTCAAAATGTGATGTTTGCGTGGTTGTCCAATGAACACCAATACATATTAGTTTTACAACCATATCAAATCAGTCCATGAGAAGATTTAGCTTTAGGTGCCAAGTCATCAACATCACTAGAGAAATGTTTGGATGTTGATGAATCTACTTGAAAGATTTTGGCAAAATTACTAAATTTGTAGACAAACAATTTAGTGAAAAGATGCTACTTACCTGATAGATGTGGACCATTGATGATTCTCTTTGTTGGACTAGCGATGATACGTTACAAAAGAAAGTTGAAATAAATTCAGCCAATTCTCCCGATCATTATGGGGAGTTGCATACTTGCATTCCTTTGATAAATCTTGTGAGATGGCTAATTTTTTCAAGGTTTTATCTATAGTAGTGGTATGTCACCTGTTGTTTTATGTTCAACTTTAAATGCATCCAGTGTAAATGCCCAATTAAGATGTTATACTAGTCCTGGAAAAGTTCTATTGCCAACCCTTGGCCAAGTATGAAGCAAAACTTTGAGAAAACTTCTACTTAATCAGCCACATTGAAATAATTGATATTATATCTATCACTGGCATTGATATTGTCAAATGTCAATCTTTTCTGCTTTTCCCTTAGGCCTAATCCATTGACCCGTTTTGGGGTTGTGAAGTTGACACATTACTTGGGTATTCGAAAAATGCTATTATACAATAATGTGGTACTACTGGATTGTTTGTGGTTGAATTCCATGTTCCCATATATGTGCTCAACTTTTTGCAGTGTGTAGTTATTACATAAGGGATATAGTTAAGGTACAAACTACCATGTTTACCGAATGTGGGCCAATTATGATGTAAAGGATAGTGTTAAGTACTTCACTAAAATAAGAGGGGTCGTTTGGGAAGTTTATATAATAAATCTAGTAGGAGTCAATAAATGTGTAGGTGGTTCTATTGAAGGCATTCACGCACAAATTGAGAGTTAGAAAGTGGGGAGAGTGCCTGCCTCTTGAATGCCGCACATCCATCTGAATTTTTCTTGCTTTTATTTCATTGTAATTTCTTCATTCAGTACACATATATACAAAAGCACAAAAATACAGCAATTGCACTCAGGTTCCTATTAGTAACCTTCAGGTAAATGCTAATTAGAACATCATGCAATTACGTACTTTATTTTGACTAGTAGAAAATAAAGTGATTTGTGCTAGACTCAGGGATTTCATGAGAAAATGACCTTCATTGTTTTAACTCTATTATGACTTTGTATTTTTTCATCCAATTCACTTATTTGAGAATAATTTACTGTACTCATGGATGCATGTTGTTTAGTTTAAGCTATATGTTCAGTTCAGATGTGGACCTTATATAGCGGTGCCTACAGTGCTACTTAAATTAAGAACATGTTGAAGAGATGTAGAACATCTACATGTGTGACCCTCTCTAATAGCTTTTAAATCACATGGTTCAACATTGTAATAAAGTAGGCAAAGGTCTTGGATTTAAGTCTCCCTATCACCTATTTATGAAATTGCACGTCAAGGATTTGATGGGAAAAATAACCCGGTTTACACGTGAGGGAGTATGTCGAAGACAAGATTTAAATGATATACGTGTGACCCTTTTTAATAGTTTAGACTTTTAAATCAAGTGGTTCAACATAATACTATGATTAGTTAAATATTTATTATATTAGTCGTCCAGTAAATGTACGCTGAATATTCTGGTCTTCAACCTATACACATCTTTTGAGATTGCTGGATAATCTTAAGCCTGTGATGCACAGTCCAATAGCTATAGTTCTGCAATTAGATGATAATATGATGAAAAATTTTGGGGTTGGGGGACGAGGCTATTGTATGAGAGTGTAGTGAATATGGGAACACGGAACAACGGTGTATTTGAGGTTGTCTGCCACAAATAATTGTACCGTTAGCATCGATTCTAGTTGAGAGGGTAAGTTTATTTCCTATTGCTTTGTCTTTTGTCGGTGGCCGTACTGTTGCTTTGCCAATAATACTAGTTGATGTTTTCTGGAAATGTAATGTGTTTTTAGTTATGATGTTTTAATGTTTTTTACATAGGGTTCTACAACTTGGTGAATAAATTTTTTCACCGTATGGTTGTAAAACTTTTCTGAAGAAATCAGGTCACTAAATCTTAGGGAGTTGTGCTCTGATCCTTAAGATGGAAATGTTAATGCTAGTAAAGCAGCAACTTGCATGTTGCATCTGTGAAGATGCCTGGAATCCATAATGGTGCTTATAATAGTTGTCTACAAGATGTACTCTTTTGGGGATTTCCTTCTGTTGCAGTCAATTTTTTTATTCCCTTTGAAATGTCGGAACTTAAACATTCGGAATTCTTTTCCTTTTCTTCTTTCTCCCAGTAGTTTTTCTACTCTATTTAAGCATCTTGTTCTATTACAAGCTACTTACTGTTTTTTGGTTTGTATTTTCAGGGAAATGATCCAGCATAGGCCTTATACTCAGAAAGTTGATGTGTACAGCTTTGGGATTGTCTTGTGGGAACTTATCACAGGGTTGCTTCCATTCCAGAATATGACTGCTGTTCAGGCTGCATTTGCTGTTGTCAACAAAGGCGTCCGTCCCAGTATCCCCAACGACTGCCTTCCAGTTCTCAGTGAGATCATGACCCGTTGCTGGGATGCTAATCCTGATGTTAGGCCCTCCTTCGGTGATGTAGTCAGAATGCTCGAGCATGCAGAGACCGAGATCATGACAACTGTCAGAAAGGCCCGTTTCAGGTGCTGCATGACTCAACCGATGACTACAGATTGATCATTGATGCAGGGAGAAGATATTAGAAGCAGTAAGAAGATGAGGAAAAGAAAGAAAAAAGAGAAGGAAAAAAAACTGATTTCATGTCAGCCTTGTGTATGTATCTGGCTTAATTTATTTCTTGAGATAGAAAAAAGGAGAGGAAACTGTGATAAGAGCTGCTTGTTTTGTGTATTTCTTTTTAAAATTTGTGGATTTTAAGAATTGAATTAGTGGTAATAGAGGAGATTTGATGTGTATTGTACTTGCCCTTTGTGCCATATTTTAAGTCTTCCTTCTTTCTTTACAGTTACAATTTCTATAATCTTATGTTATATTTTAGGAAAATGGTAACACAGGTGTCATTTGCCCTTCGGAGTTTCAGGAGATGTGAATTATTGTTTAAATTTATGAGTAAATTTTAAAAGGAGATGCAAAATGCACTATCCTATAATTCAGCCTCTTCGAGATTCCACTTTTTTTACTTGACAGCAAGACTAATGCATAAAAATCCCCACTCATATAGTATATGTAAGAATGTAATATCAATTCAGGGCTTTTATTCAATTCAGGAAACCCAAACGTGCACCAACAATGCAGCTGAAAAATCTCAAAAACAAGGCCTAAAGTTATCATTTTCTCGTCTTGAATATTCGGGAGCTGTCGTCATAACTCTTGAGATAAAACCTTTTGCAGTTGTGACTTCCACTTTTGAATATAAGATAAAGGTGAATATAAAAGATAATTATAAGAGGGGTAATTCTCATCTTACCTCTACAATATATGAATTAAATTTTTACTTGTAATAATATAAAAGTTATTGTGTTCAAGCTCATACAGCAACAAAAATCTAGCTAAAAAAGCTTGCCCATTTTTAGAAGAGAACAAGCGTGGCTGGATTCATTAAACCGAAAAGATACAGAAAACAAAAACAAATTTACCCATGTTTGGTGGGATTAAAAAAAAGTCAAAAGTCAATTATTAATTTTAATCACATATTTATGAAATCCACAACTTTTCAGCCACACATTTAGCGCCCTTTTGTCAACTAATAATATTTTGGAGAATGCGTGGTTAAAAAAATGAAATATTTTTGGGTTTAAATTTAATATTATTTTATTGAAAAATGTGCGATTGATAACGAGAAAGAAAAAAATGAATTATAATTTAATAGGGAACAAACGGGAGCTTAGCCACTGTTTGAAGCTCATTATCGAGAAAAATAAGTTTTATAATAGTGAATTTTTAGAAAATGTGTGGTAAAAAAGTATGTAAAAAATTTGAATTTATGTTTAAAATATTTTATTATGAGAATGCGTAATTAAAAATGAGTTTGAGAAAAAGTCAAATTTAAAAAAATGAGTATCAAACATGAGCTTAATCAACTTTTATCAAAATCTATTAAAAATTTAATTTAAATTTCCACCAAAATGTAGCATAGGGTTATAGGTCATTACCAAAAAGGCTAAAATATGAATGAAATTAGGGAAAATTGCAGCCAATGTATCAAACATTTTGTTTAGTAGTAAATTTGCCCAAATTTTCTCATTTGTGTCACCCACAGTACCAAACTTTTCAAAATAAGCACCAGGGGCCAAATAGATGATTTTCGTTAATTTGACCGTTAGTTAACTAAGCCCTTGTTTGACTCTCATTAAATTACATTACATTACAAGAAATTTTTCTCTCTTCATTTCAACCACACATTCATCAAATAAAATAATATTACACACAAATCTAAAACTTCTCATTATTTTTCCACCACACATTCTCTCATCAATCATTCTTACAAAAATTTTCAATTATAAAAAATGCCAAATAATAGGGGCCAAACAGGGGCTAAAAGTCCATGGTCTAACCAAATGTTAACTAATGTTTCGAGGGTAAATAGGTAAACTTAATTTTTTATATAAATTAAATAATTAAATAATAAAAAACAACCCACACACCCAAACCATCTCTTTCCCCATCTCTATACAGCTCCTTCCCTCGTCCCAAAATTGCAGCCACAGCCACCAAAGTCGTTGACCACCGCCGCCACCTAAGCTGACTACCGCCGCCCTTTCTAATTCACCTAATTTAAACAAAGGAAAGATAAAAAATAAAAAATAAAAATTCGAGATTCACCTAGCTTCTTCTCTTTTTACCTCCAAATCCACTACTTTTATTAAACAAATTCAAATCAAGGAAGAAGACAACAAAGATTTGCTAGAAGATAGCAAAGAATTCAACTGTTCCCTTCACCAAAATCTCAGCTGCAGCTTCAACAACTCCTCTAAATCAAACACCATAGATTGTGATTATGGAACTTTATTTTCAATTTCTTTCTATAATTTGCTCTGTTATTTTTCAGTTTCAAATTGTCATATTTGTGTTTCAGATTTGAAATTTGAAATTGATTATGAAATCAGATTTGTTTTTTAAAATTTGCCATTGTTGTGGTGTAAGTGATAGTGCTATTGAATGAAGATCTTGATGGTGAGGAAAGACGATTGCAGAGAGATGGTGGCGTTGGCATGAATGTTCGATTGATATGATAATCAACCTTAGAGTTGAACATGGATGGCTCAAAGGTAAGCACTATTGCCCATTCCTCTCCGTGATAAAAG